TTTTTTTTTTTTTTTTTTTTCACTCCACACAACAAACTTTTACCAATAAGGACTTGCTTCATTTTCCCACTTAAGCTTAGAAGCAGCAGCTGCCTCACTAGAGCGTGCACCAGCTGTTAGGATGCTATGTTTACATCTGTATTCTCCTAAAGGGTATTAAGTGAGCTCAACTTGTAATTTAAACGCTGAATGAAACAGAATTAAAGTTCCAATGGTTCTGCTCCACTTAAACTGCTAAAAGATTATGCAGGTAAATTATATCCCAAATGCTTCTACCAGTTAAACTGTTACATCTGTTTACCTCATTGATTTTCCCGCTCATCTTATAAATATACAAGTTCACAGAAAGCTAAGATATCTATTCTGACAGTTATATGGGCACCAACACTGAGTGAGGATAAACCATCTTTAAACATCTAGTCTTTACAAAAAAAGAAAAAGCAGCTGAAAAGCTCTTTGGAGTCTTCCACTTGACCCTGAGTTCCCTTTGCCATTTTATATTTTCCAATTAGAAAACATTAGCTTTTTAATAACAAAGTTGTTGCTCTTCAAGTTTTCTCAAAGCAACAACTGGAGAAAAATGCTCCGAGTCAAGTAGGACACCTAAACAAACAGGCCTCTACATCTCACCATGCTGTTGAATCCAAAAGGGTTCTGCCATGCAGAGCTGCTAAGATCAGAGCTTACATAACTCCATACCTTTCACACTGTAGTCTGACAAAGAAGGCCGTGTACAAGTACTCCCTACCAGGAGAATCGCCACTCCTGCCGTAGAAGCTACGTGCGCACAAGCCTGCACTCTATTTCTCCTGGGGGTTGGAGAAAGATTGGAACAGGTGCCAAAACTCCTTGCCCCTTCCCAGACCAGGGATTGCCTGGTCTGGTGAATGGGTTGAGCACTTGGCCCCACTGCTCTACTCCCCTCCCAGCTCTACACTCCCACATGGGAACAGGAGTGAAGCAGCTACTGCTCCCCACTCCTTCCCCACACTGAGATCACCCCAGTCTCAGGAAGGCATGAGGACCAAGGGAGAGGGTGCAGTGGCTGAATGCCTGTACCACTCCCTCTCCTGGAAATACCTGTCAGTAGAAATGCACTAGAAATGCATGCCAGTTTGCTGCCCAAGTAAAGTTGACAGCTACAAAACAAGCATCCACAAACACACCAACAAATTCTGTTTGAGGAAACTCTAAAGCAGGCTATATGCAGGGTACATGTATGGGGGTCAATTTAGTGTCAGTCTGTATCAGTAAAATCAACTGATACTACATTTAACAGCCTAACCTCATTCTGCTACTGCACCATTTCTGCTTGAACTTCAAGTTATAAAGAACCGTCTACCCCTCCTCCATAGCATTTTATGTATAGCACCATGCATTCACAACAAATTAAGTGTAGCCACAGTTTTTAAATAACTAGAACCTCTTTCCCTCCCAATTATTTCTGTCAGCTTCAAGTTCATACTGTAATGTGTGCACTAACCACAGTGAATATTAAGTTAAACTTAAAAATTTTGTGTACAGAGATACCAGTTTCAGGACATCTTAAAGAACATTTTTTTTTTTAGTGGGAAACAGAAAGATTAAACATAATCCTAATTTAGATTTTAGAAAAACTTGCTTTAAAACCTAGAAGAAATAAAATTGTTTTCCCAGAAACATTTTAAGGGACTGAGATTAAAAAGCATGAAAACCTGTTTTTAATTGTTGCTTTTTCTTTCTGAAGTGAAGAAATAACTGAAATCTGATTCATGTTTACTTTTTTTTTTTTACTTTTTATCTATAGAACTAAATTAAATAAATCTATAAGAGAAATTCTGCAGACATCACCATAGACACACAGTGTAGACGACACATGATGAAGTAAGCTCAACAATTTAAACTTCACTTTTAATTCTTGGGAAGTCTGAGCAACAAACAGAGCTTGCTACTGCTACAATTCTTCCTTCTGAGTATTTACTATTAAAGCAAAAAGGGGCAACTAATCCTGAATCATATACTCCCTTAAAAGTGATGTTCTGTGTGAATAGTTACTGATCTCTCTGAGAACAACTTTGGAAGTGTCTTAATACAGCAGCTTCATTTATTAAGTTATCACACACTGGCATACAACAGCTGTAGCACCAAATACCAATAAGCTAAATATTGTTAAATGCTGACTTTTTAAAATGATAACCACCATTTTCAAATATTTTGTAACCCATATAGATACTGGTTTACAGTACTGTTCAGCTGCACTCTTATAAGAATTTTTTCTGTGCTGCATCTTCCATCAGTAGTCTACTGCACACTGTCATCATGGCCAGAGCATTTTTGAAGTCTATAGCTTAAGGATTTGTGACATTCCAGAAGTGTTCAGTTCTTGCTGATTAGACTGACAACAAATCCAACTTACCCAGTGAAGAGATCCCATGCACAGTTTGGCAGCAAGGAGTGGTATGGTAGCATCATCTGGTTTCAAGCGTATACATTCCTTTAAGACTTTCACAGCTCGAGCAGACTGTGCAAAAATGTATTTCTCAGTGAAACAACTAAGAGCGAAGCATGAAACATCAAAAACAAGACTCCTACCTTGATGAACTGATTTACCTTTTTCCAACTGAAGGAGCTATTCCTAAACAATTTTAAGTTGAAAGACCTGTCACAAGAGTGTCTGTCAGATCAGATAGGAGAGGCTTTGAGACCCACTGTAGTCACTAAATGAAGTCAAATGTGTTGGATCAGATATTGGCCTGCATACTACACTGCAGTGATACATACAAAACCAAGTGCTCTAGAGGAGCAACTGAGGATTCACCAGGCTTTATACCACTTCCCTTATTGTCACCCCACAGGGGGGTGGCAAATAAGTGGGTGGGAGTGGACAGATAACTAAAGCAGGATGTACTTCAGTGATCACCAGAGGGTATAACAACACTTAAGGGACTATTCTAATATATTTTAAGCCAATGCAATTTAGAGCAGACCTTCATTATTCCTGAGTCTAAGGCTATTTTTTCCGTTACCTTTTCCCTACCATAATTTAGAGGCTGCTGTAAACTACATTGAAGATGGGGTAGAAATAGTAAGGCCCTCAAGATCAGTGAATTACACAGATTTCCTTAAAATAATTTATGGAGAATAATGTAATTATTTTTTTTCCCCCAGAATGACAATAACCCACTCATCTCCAAGGAGACAGGCTTTGAGGAAAGCTAATGGACATCTCCTGCTTCATCCATAATAAATCTGCTTTATCCTCTGTAACCCCACGTGGAAGAGGAGAAAGCAAAGGAACCACAAGTAGTATGTTGTGTTTAAAAAGTCCAGATAATAATAATAATAATAAAATGTGGTTTTGCATAATGGAACAATATTTACAAGTGATGGTATAACAAGAGGTTCTTAAAGGAAATAAAATTAAAGACGAACATGTGTAAATTCTTAGCTAAACCTGTCACCTGTTCACTGTGACAGTATTGAAAGTAAGACATTACTGAATTTCTATGTAAGTATATCATCTTAGGTATCTTTTAGCTAAAATAAAATACTGTAAAATTCACTTTAAAACTTCAGCTTGTGGTACTGAGCAACAATGTTCAACATTTTCACTTCCTAAATGACAAACTCTTTGACAAGAACTGTCTTAATTTGTCCCTTGGTACAAGTACTGAGAAAAAAATCATTGTTAGTTCACTCCCACAGAGCTACTTTGAGGAGTAATTAATTGTTGTTTTATAAAGAGTCTTAATAGATGAAGATTTCTAGGTAAGTGTTAATATACCATCATTACTGACAATCAGTACAAAGATTTAAATACACAAAAAGGCAAGACTTACTTTTCCTGCAGCCATTAATGACAGTGCAAACTGATACCAAAGATGGAACTCTTCAAATGCAAACTTCATGGCTCTTTCTAAACACTAAATTTGGGGGGGAAAGGATAGAAATTATATTGATAAAATACTCATTAAGAGCCTACACCTTCAAAAAGTTACATGCACATTTGTCTGTAGAGAAATACTGGGAATATTTTGCCTCTAGAACCTCAAAAAGTGCATGAAATAAAAAAGTCTAAGGGCACTGGCAAAAATAAGTGGATCAATATTAAATAATATGAGGTAAGCTGTTAAGATGTAACCATTACATCTGTGTACTTCCATAGCAATACAAGCACACCATCACCTGTGCAATATTAACCCTGTTACATTCAGGATTAAATTTACAGTGATTTAGTCTAACTGTATCACTACAGGAGCATTCAGCCACAGTACTTACATTGTAATAGCTAATGTGTTGCTTAGGGATTGTTCCCCCTTTCCTTTAAGTAGCTGAAATGTTACACTTGCTGGCAGCCTAATTAGTTCAAAAGCCAACTTCAGAGTGAAATAGGAAGCAGTCATCAGCTTCCACAGGATTAAGTATAAAATTTAAGAACCAAGGAGAGAGTTTCTTTCCCTGTGCCACATGTGTTTAGGTACCCCTTAGCTGTTGCTCTTCTTTAGCCTGCCAAAAGCAGGGATAAGCATCTGCCACGTTTAATAACAAAACCAGCAGATGGAAACCTGAGCTCCTGCATTGTGCCAAAGGTGCTTCTAACCTTTTCATTCCCTGAATACCTACTGCATCAGTAGCACCAACTAGACAGGCAAGCAGTAGGAGTGAAAGCTTTTTTGACAGTTATTTCTACTTGAAAGAAAAAGCCATCCTGAATCAAAACTACTACTAAGTCAGAGCACAAATTTGTTATACTGTTCTGCTGAGGCTCATTTTATTAACCAGATGCCATAAGTTACGTTCATAATTAGTATGCTGAGATGCAACATATTAAAATTAATGTTTTGCGCCAATTACAAAAGGTTTCACATTTTTCTGTGGGCCATAAGAAACCATTTATTTCCCTTATTACCAGGGTTTTACAAATCAAGCCACCTCTCCAAGGAGTTCCTGGACAGGATACTCTTTTGGATTAAACCAAAGAGATTTAGCAATCACCTTCCTAGCATGTGATGGTTTGTTATATGCATTGTAAATACACAAAACTGTAAAACACAAATGCTATTTTGATATTAAAACGAGACCTTAGTACTACAAGAAAAAGACAGAAAATGCAATTATGTATAATAGAAACTGAGGTGAAGTATGATGCAAAAACAGAATCAACAGTGCATTCTACTTATTGAACAGGATTTACCTATCCTGTGCTGTTTCATCACAGGGAACCTACTGCATAAAGTGTTGCTAAATATAAGCTTTAAAATGTACCATATTATATGCATACTTAAAAATGGTGGGGTGGGGGAGGGAAGAAACCAATAATGCCCTTGTAATATTGTTGCATGTACAGTCTAGAAAATAATTTTGTACAGCAAATCACAGTTTTATGTAAATGTCAATATTAATTTAAATCCAGCATTGCTGTTAAATTATTTCATCTCCATCAGTAAAAACAATAGATTAAAGAAACACACAACTGAATTAGCAAGTATTCAATCATGACTGAAGACAAACAACCTGAAAAGGCACTTGAAAGTTGTATGGAAAGATTCCTATGTGTACATAATACAAGGGGAAGGGAAATGATACAAGATATACAGAAAGGCATTTATGTTTCTTCCTCCCTTTACCTGCACTATGGGCCCCTCTACATGTACAGGTAAATGCATAATGGGATCCAATATGCGATCCACACAATCATGCCTCCTACCATACCACACATGCATAGCAGGAGGCGTGATTGTGGGACCACACATTAGATCCCATCGTGCCTTATTGCCAATGTAGGGGGGGCTAATCCCAGGCTCCCACTGCACTGGCAAGAAGCAGGATCCCACAGCTGGGAGCCCCCTCTGCTGAAAGGGTGGCCAGAAGGTGAGGGGACTCCTGATCCTGGCTGTACCTGAGTTCCAGCCATGGGAAATGCCTACACATATAAATTAAAGCTGGATAGAAACCCGCAATTAAGATATTACACACTTTTGAGCAATAACTTTATAGCTGGTTGGACCTTTTTAAAGGCAGCATAGTAAATCTGCATGTACAGCCAGTCTAAAGTTATTATACAATTAACAGGGAAAATGTACAATAGATATCATGTGTAGAGGGGTCCACGAAACACTATCAGGAAATGCGATGTAAAACCAAAAGAGCACTTCCATGGAACTCGGCAAAATATCTAGTAAAAAGAATGCAAATTCATTTTATCCCTATGAAGTCAACAATACATAGTCTAACCCATAGTGTTTAGGTAGGCCAAGAAGAAAACTAGCCCAACCTGTGGGGACTTCAACTGCTGTTTAAATGGCTGCCCATCCTAACTCCCAGGTATCTTTTTTGGCCTATCCTGTATACAGAGCTTTTCAAGAAGTTGAAGAATAATTCACTTGAAAACAGAGCTTCGTATTACAAGGGCTAGGGACAGATGTTACACATAAACCAGTTTTAGTCATCAGAAACTGGTTTAAACCTGTAACAGAACAGAAGTTTAATGCACACAAACCAGTTTCAAAATGGCTAAAACTGGTTTAAGATAAACCTGGTTGAGTGTAGCATCAGATTTAACTGATTTGGGTCAAACCAGTTTATGAAACTTGTGTCCCAGGCCCTTTCCTGGTTCAACTTGAATCAGACTCCCCCAGCATGCTTTCCAGCCCTGGGCTGGGCTGTCTGCTCCAACAGAGAAGCAGGGGGGAGGGGGCGGAGGAGGAGAGAAGGCAGGGACTGCTTCCCCCCATGAAAACCCTGACTGGGTTTTGAGGCCAGGGAAGGGGGTTAAAAAACTTTCCTTTTCCCAAGTACAGAGCTGCCCTGCCCTGCTCCGCTAAAAACTTACTGCTGGCTGCAACTGTGGACTATAAACCCCAGGCGGTGTCTCAAAAGAATCAGCAGCCCTGGAAGGGGCAAGACAGAGACCCTCTGGAGGGGTCTCAGCTGCATTAAGAGTACCCAACACCCTGCTCGGAACAGCTGGGGCAAAGAGGGATGATGCCGAGCGATCGGACCTGTGAGTGGGGGTGGGCAGAGACCCACACCCCGATCCTTTCAGTATTTCTTTTCTTTGTTCACTTCGTTTTGGAGGGCACCAGAGTCATGACCAAGGAAACGCCCTCCATGGATCGAGAGAGATCGAGGCGGGATTTGCAGGAGCCTCAGAGGAAGTTCGGGTGCAGAGGCAGAGACAATCGTATGCCTCGCTGACCTGCAGTATCTATGCTGCTGCAGAGTCCAAACCATGTACAGAATTTTCTCTTTAGCTCACTGACACATCAGGAAAGGTTTTTTATAAAACCATATTGATTAACTGCACTTGAAAAGTCATGCTAACATGGTGTGAAATACAATTGAGTTTAGCTGTTTTTATAGCTGTAGCATTCACAGAGATTAAATTTATTGCTAAGAATCAAAATTCAGACGTTTCTGGTTAATCCACTGCCTGTCAATGTGATGCTTGAAATAGAACAAATTTGCTCTCCTTATTCTGGTAGCAATGATTTAAATATACATTTGAATATTTTCTGTACTCACTGTAAAACCCTAACTTCTCTTATAATTGTAGTCTTTGAGCCCCCTATCAGAAAACAGTACATGTAGACTGCTACTTGAAATAAGAAAGGCACTGGCTCACGTACGCTTTCTTCCCATATTTAGGGTAAAGCTGTTTCCCTATAGGAAAACAGAAATGCATCTACCCCTGTTCTCTAGACAACCAAATGTACAATAAAAATAGTAAAATTGTCTCTCCTTTCTACCTGACAGCAGATGAAGTTGGAGAAGGTCTCCTGCCAAATATTAGAAAATACACAGGAAAACTGGTTTCATGTTATTACATTTAATTAAAAATGTTTTGCAAGGTTTAGCTTTCTATGTGGAACAAAGTGGAATGGTGGCATTACAAATTACCCGTCATAAAAGACACTTAAAATTGGCAGCATTCACCTGTTTAAGGGTGTTAACACATGCTAAGTATCCTCTAAACATTTTTAAAGTTATGCTTCTTCAAGCAAAGGTTATCTTTGGTCAGTTTTACCCAGATAGTTCAATAAATAGATAAAACACTATTTTGTTTCCTCCAGCACCCAAGGATGCACCATTCCTAGCCCTTCCCACTCCTTTGCTCCATGGTTAAAATTTTCAACCCTCCTGAACTACCACCCAGTGGGGTTCCGCCTGCCCCAAGGCAACACACCTTCCTGCTGCCAGGGGGTGCAAACCCAGCACACCCTGATTGCTATTCATTTGAAATGGCTCTGCCCAACCCATGCAACAAGCCTGCTGGGTCTCAGCTCAGCCCTGATGTGGCATGCAGTGAATCTGCTGGATTTCAGCTCTGCCTTGATGTAATGCAACTCCCCCCCTCCCCTCCCCTCCCCAACACAGTCCCAATCCAAATTCAATTAAACATATGCAAGATCTTACTCCTTTAAAATAATTTCACTTTTCTCCTTACTTCTTCCCCCTGCCCATTCACTTCAGGTTTTCTCCACTCCAAATTTTTTTCCCTCCCACTGTCAGCTTCAGCTGGCTGCAGAGTGAGGGAAGTCAGAGCCCACATGGTGGTTTCCCTGTCTCTAGGCTAGATGCCACCCTCCCCACTCCTCTCCCACCAGAGGAGGGACAGAGTTCTGGTTCCTGTCCACACCCCTGCTCACCAGGCCCTCTAGTGGCAAGTCACAGTGGTGCAGATATGAAATGGCTTTAAGCTTTGCCCTATGGCTGCTGCAGAACCGATCTACCATTATCACAGGATAACATTCCACATATTTAAAATGTTTTAAAGATAACAGGCAACAGCATCCTATCCTCACTGCATTTAAATTTGCAAACCTCCCAGATGCATGCTATCTAGCCATGATTCTTGTTTAATCTCACCTGACTCTGAGCCAAAACCAAGACCACCCCAACCTCAATCATCAAGCTTCAGAACACTAATGATGCTTAGTCTGTGCTCACTCAGAAACAAACCTTCAGGCAAATCGTCAATGTCTTTACCGAGGCATACAATGGGACTGACACTTAGCATTCAGACGACTAAGGCCCTCCATCAACTAGCTCTTACTGAGCACACGACAGCTCCAGTAACTCAGATTCAGGGTGAGACTCTGGAGAACCTTGAGTATGTCCACTACCTCAGAAGCCATCTCTTGCAGAAGGCTGACATTGATGAAGAAATCCAACATCACCTCAAACGTGCAAGCACGGCCTTTGGACGCCTGTGGAAATGGTGTTTAAGATTGTGACATCAGATCCAAAACAGAGCTCACGGCTTATCAAGCAGCTGTGATCCCCACCTTACTGTACAGAGCTGATATCTGGACAACGTACATGAGGCACCTCAAGTCATTGGAGAAGTACCACCAACACTGCCTGCGGAATATCGTTCAAATCCAGTGGGAAAATAGATGCACCAACATTAGCATCCTTTTGCCAGCAAACATCGCAAGCAAAGGTAACGATCATTCCACATTAACTTCACTGGGCTAGACACATCATCCAAATATGCAACTCCAGACTGCTGAAGCAAGTTTTATTATCCCAGCTCAGTCAAGGCATACACTGAAGAGGAGGGCAGAGAAAACATTTCAAGGATTTCCTTGATGACAACTTGAAAAAAATTCAACATTGATACCAACTTGCGGGTGACTGTCACCCAGGAGCGTGCCAAATGGAGACAGTCTGCTCCAAGGACCTCTGTACTTTGAAACCTTATGACGACAACAGGAGATGGAAGAGCAGGAGTGGCAGAAACAGCATGTCATGGACTTCATCAGGAATCTGGAGCCACCCACCCCACATGGAAACATATGTGCAAATTGCAGTAACCTGCTGATCCCAGATTGGCCTCATCAACCATCTTTGGACTCACAGATAAGACAATCATGGAAGACAATCATCCTCAACTGTGAGGGACTGCTGAAAAAGACCCATATTCATTTCTAGGTGAATTTAAAAAGAAAAGTACTGTAAACTCAGATGAATTTCTGGAAAATTTTAAACTCAAATAAGCAAAAAAAATTCTCTTCTGGATAGGGAAAAAAGTGGTCTAGAACATAGAGTTTAGCAACATTTCACCAACAGCAGGTAAAATTAACATAGCTTGGTCCTAAGGTGGGCTGGAGGAGAGGGGGCAGTCATGTGCCTCAAGAGGGAGTAGGCAGGCAGGTGTAGGGAGCAGAGTGACCCTCACACAGAGAGGGTCCAGCAATTTTTCTTCCTCCATCCCCGTTTTAATTGACCTGGTGCACTGAGGGCGTTTTAGGGACACTGTGGTTCCCTGAGAGCTGGGAAGTGGCGTCCGATAGGACTGTGCAAAGCTTCGGTAGCCGATCTGATTTGGAGGAGATTTGGCGGCTGAATCTCCAAATCTGAACTGAAAATCAGGAGACCAATTAAAGGGTCTGAATAGCAGAATTGGAAGCCTCCGAATAGATTTGGAAAAGATTTGGCACCGCTTCAGAGATTTGGCCGTAGACTAAACAGGCAACAGTCCTCACCAGTTCTGGAAGGGGAAGCACAGGATGTGGGTGGGACAGAGCTGGGAGCAGGAGCTATGCCCTGCTGCTGCTTGCCTCCTTCTGCCTGGAGCAAGCAGAGCCTGCATCATGCTCCCTCCACCCCCTCCTGCTGCCCTGGCAAGTGGCAGCAGGGCATAGCTCCCACACCCAGAACTGCCACATCCACTCCCCAAGTTGTGCCCCCCCCAGCTGGGCAGCTTGTCCCAGCTCCAATCCCTCCCTCGCTGTGGGGGCATTGAGCTGCCCCTCCCCCTTCTGCCCACCACAACAGACTTACCAGCTGGAGGCAGCTGTGTCCAGTGTGGTGAAGACTGCTGCCTGTTTAGCCTATGGCCGAATCTCCAAAGCGGCGCTGAACCTTTGGATCTAATTTAGCCGAATCAAATCAGGACACTGATTTGAATCTCCAGATCAAATCACTGTCCCTCCAAAATCGGCTGAATCCGAATCCAAAGCAAATACTTGCCGCTTCACACAGGCCTGGTGTCCAACTTCTGGAGGGGGGACCCGGGCACTTCACCCCTTGTCCCCTTTCACATGTCTGAAGTTTACCTGGTGTCCACATCCCAACAAATGAACCTCCGCAGTTGCAACACATGACCTCCCCTCTCAAAAAGTTCCTTCCTGCCAAATTGGGGGG